AGGCTGCCCAGGGAAGTGGTTGAGTCACCATCCCTGGAGGTATTTAAAAGACATGTAGATGTGGTGCTCAGGGACATTGTTCAGTGGTGTCCTTGGCAGTGCTAGATTAACGGTTGGACTTGATCTTAAAGGTCTTTTCCAGACTAAATGATTCTATGATTCTAAGATTATACATATGGTATCTAGGCCCAAATTGTATTTCAAATACTTGAAATTCTTTTTACTGAGCAGTATCAGGTACTGAGGAGCCTGGACCACTCAGATCTTACATGTATTTTTGAGATTATTCCTTTAAAGATAGTTTTTTTAATGAAAGCTATTCTGAAATGATTAGATAGACAGAATTCTTTGTTTGTCTGAATTCTGCCCAGTATCATTCATGTCCTGGCAGTTTAGTCACAGGATAACAAGCAATTTTAAAATCAGTGAAGGAAGAAAAGGAAAGCTATCACTAAAACCCAAGTGGTTCATAGTTCAAGGGTTGCCAAGAGCTTGTTCAGGGCTCAGTGCAGGGAACAGAATTACTTCCGTTTCATTGTTCTATTAAACTACCGCAACAGTAGTCAAACACATATTTGTGTGTTTTTCTATTAAGCTCTGTAATCTGAATGAAAACACTTGGGGTATATTTAGTATAGGAAGAAACTTCTTGTGTAATAGCAGCAGCCAGGAAAGATATAACTGCACTAGACAGTAGTGGGGGCAGGACTCAAGTGATGTTTCCAACTTGTCAAGAAAACTTTTTTAAGGCATGTTTTATGACTATCTGAGAAATACAGTGAAACCTCAAGTCTGCTAATATTACTTTTCCCAGTCATTCATTGGCCCCTTTGTGGACTTCTAGCAATACAAATACATGTATTACTAGTGAGGACAATGTATTTTGTTACAGCATTCATAACTGTAACTGTTAACGGATGAAAAGCAGCCTAAGCAAATGCACTGAACTGTAAGAGAAGATGGACCCACTGATGACTCTAGGAGGGTGCACCTTTTAAGACTAGTTTCATAGAAAAGGCACCTAGGTCAACAACTTGAATCACAGTCCTGTAAAATGTGTAATAAAGGAATCAATTATTCAGCAAGACCGAAGGAAAACCTCGAACATCTTAGTTTATTAATCCTGGATGGGCAAAAGCAGTAATCAGAGGAGTGTGGACTGTATCCAGAGAATTTAATTGTCAAATAAAGGACGATTTTGAGTTTAGGATCTTTATAATTAGGAGTTACATTAATAAAAAACAAGTATCAGCAAGGGCTTCTGTCTTGTACAAACTAAAAATTCGTAGTAGAAGTTTCAGTATAGCAACATGTGATAAGGTTGCCTGCTGGAGACTCTGGCTGGCTTAACAATTTATTTTTCAATTTATACTGCATCAGTACCTCCAGCCCTTCCAGGATCTCTGTGATTCTACACATTACATTAATTCATGGTTCTCCAGGCTCTTCCTTGAAAAATGCTTTCTCCATGTCTACATTACAGTATATTTTATTTATGAATTTATGGTCAGGTACCTCGGTTCTGGTCTTGTGTTCCTTAGACACTTGGTGCTATAATCTACTGACTAAATTATTTCAGTGATCTCAGTGCTGATCATACACACTGATGCTGTGCTGTGAACCCACTCCAGAGATAAAGAAAGACTTGAGGTGGCACAGGAGCAGGTTTACCTACCATGTCATTGTATTGGTAACTCAGATTTAGGAATATGCAGTCTCATTTCTTTCCTCCGGTTTCCTATTGTAGATTCTTCAAGCGCTTTTTAATATCCCCCTCTACCTTTGTACAGGATTTGATTTTTTGGGGGTCATTTGAAAAGGAATCCATTATTCCATAAGATCATTACTGTGGCACTTTGTGTGTGTCTGTGCGATTTCTACAAACTACTCCAGACAGGCAAG